TCGCTGGGCCATACCTGTTCTTGTATCAGGGAACGGCTCGGTGCATGTGATGTAACTTGAAGCCTGAGAGTTAGGGCAAAGTAAGTTCCTTCAGAGAATGGTGGTGTGCCAAATCACAAAGTCCACAATGAGATGATCTCTCATCAGAAGACATCAAATGTCTTCTTTGGCTAAGGATAAAGACTTTTTTTTTAATCGCATGATTCAAGAAATATGTAATTAAGAAAGCATAATTAACACCATACCATATCACAGTGTAGTATGATTATATCTAATGCCCTTCCAGTGTTACATTGTCTAAATCTTGAACAGTATTTCAGATCTATTTTGAATCTTAGTCCATCACATTCAATTACCAGATACGCTGGCTTATCACTTCCCTAGGAGGCTGTACTTCCAGCTGTTTACAGAATGCTTTCTCGTGCAATTTGTGCTCCTGCAAGTGCTTATTGCCCAGCAAATGCCACAGGAGCAACCCCGTGTCCTTCCCCTGGGAGCCCTCCCAGGCACACAGCCCCGTGCAGTTCCCCTCACATCGTACAGCCTCGGGACTTTGGGCCACAGGTGGTCTAAACCAGCGTGACTGCAGTTATGTCAATTAGGCTGACCCAAGTCCTGAAAACGGGCTGAAAAGCTGGTTCTTAGCATTTAGCTCAGGAGCAGGAAAACATATTTCGTAGCTGCTGAAAGCTGTTAAATACCTGCTTTTAATAGGACTAATTTAAAACAACAAACATTTCTTTGGATTGTGCATTTCTTTCAGTGGCCCAGTTAATGGGGCTGAGTAATGAATGGAGGCACCACTGGATTGTGTTTACGCTGCAGTACCGCCTTAGCAACCTTTTGGTCCTGCTCGCGAGGCTGTAAAATTCTTGGTTCCTCACAGCATCAACACTATTATACTACTATTAGGGTTGGATTTACTTACGATCAAGCAAACGTAAATACTCCTGCATTTGGCACTGCCCCAATAACAGATAGGAGCTGAGGAATGCTGCCACAATACGCAGTCGGAGGTTTCTGGGAGGGCTCTTCAGAATCGTCCCAACTCCACTGCACCGGGGGTGCGGGCTCGGAGCAGCACAGAGAAGAGCTGAAGGGCCAGCGGTAACGACTGCAAGCCGTCGTCGTTCTCCGATGCAGGAGCAACGCTGGATGGTTGGATCATGCAGTGGAGATGGGACCTGAGTCATGCTTCCAACCTCTGTTCAAACGCTAAATGTGTTGAAGGCTTTAGTACAGTTTGGGAACAGGTTCCTTGAAGAAATTCCTGGTATTTCCTGGTTCCAGGCAGGCTGAAAAACACTGTGAGAATGTGGTGGCTTTTGGTATGTCCATTTATGGGCATGAATCAAAGGAACTGCAGGGAGGAAAAAAAGTGGAAAATGAGAGGAAAAATAAGTTAACTGAGCTACTTCCTCTCTTGGATTCTTCTTGGGTTTTGGGCAAAGCCTTACACTGGTATTTCATCCCAACTTCTGCTTGCTAACTACTTCCATATGTAGGCATAGTATAACATCAGTTAAAGCCACATTTAAGCACTGTTTTTAAAGAACTTGGGTTTTTGGTGGTAGGATGCAAAGCCAGAATGGTTGAATTATTATATGTTTAGGTAAGAATATTACTGTTCCTTCTTACATTTAATGTTCTTTTCGGTGTAATGGTACAAATGCTGTCTTTAAGTGCCATGTCTGAAAAAGCTATGCTACATGAAAAAAATACAAATGATCTCGTATGTGATTTCTAGTGGTGTCCAAAAGTCAGTTTTCTCAGCTGAGTCCCCGTCTTTGTGAGACAAACAACTGGATACTGTTCAAAGACTTGTTTGTTCCTGTGTGGTTATGGATCATTAAAAGTGGCTCATTCTTGAAGAGTTTCTTAACTAGTGTCTTTTGGATGTTTCTTAGTTCTGAGGAATCTGACAAATTTCCATCTGGAGAGTAAAGCCTATTTCATATGAAAGGGCTATAATCCATGTCTGTTGTTCACATCTGTATTGTGTTAGAAAGCTAAGCTGCAAATCCATGCGAAAGTGTTATGGTACAAAAATCTGAAATACGATGGCTTAGAGTTATTTCACAAATTATTTGAGACTCTGTTCTCCAGCCACCTTGAATTCCTGTTTAATGATTAATTGAGTATCATTTATTAAATGAGTATTGACGTTTCAGTGGTCCTTTACCGACTGTATTATTAATATGGCTGGAGATCCATTCTAAGGAGCTAGTCATTTGAATGAATACACTTTCATACATAAATAAAATATTTTAAAAGTACAGTAGCAAACTTGCACAATAGGATTCTCTGAGGATGCAAACATCCAAAGCCAAGGTATTTTGGAAGGAATGTGAATGAATGTTCTCTCCCATGTAAGTCACTTTGGACTTTTGAACTCAAGTTTTTATTCTTGCATCTATGCATCTTAGGCACAAAGAATGAAATCAGGAAACATCTTCACGGTTGAAAGGCCCACATTTTAACCATCAGTTAAGATGCCATGAATTCCACACAAGGGCTCCTTTTTCCCAGAATACCTTTGGAAGAAAGTCTTAGAAACAGCATGATGCCTACCTGCACCTCCAGGAGACCTTACACTGAAGTATTTAAATTTCTTTACCTCCAGAGATAAAACCTTCAGAGGTCTAATACCTGTGAAATGGTGTAAAACGCATGCTTCCAGCAGAAGGCTACATGTGTTCCTGGGAAAAAAAAAAAAAAAAAGGAGTGCAAGTCATTATAATGCAGTGATAGCTGAGATTTATGATCCTTGATGTGCTCAAGGGGAGAGCAACAACTTGCTAAACAGATTTGTATATGCAGCATACTCCCTTATTTTAATTCACAATGGCAACAGCAAGTCACCATTAAAATATTCTGGAGGCCTCTTCCATCCTTCTCTGCTGGCCTGTGAAGCAGTGTGATAATTTGTCAGATAGCAGGCAAAGTAGCTGTATCATTGCGTTACCAGGCAGAGGATAGGTCGTGGTCCCAAGCTGTTCTGGGGGAGCCCCTTTGTGAGGGTAAACCCACAAAGGGTGCCTAATTACGGATGGCCCTTCCTAATCTAGAGCTCCGCTGCTGCTGCTCTCTCGCCCTGCAGACTTGTAAGCGGGTGGACAGTGCCAGGGAAGGCCACAGTGCTGGGCAGCCGAGGTGTCTGAGATACAGCCCACACCACAGAGGGATGGCAGCAGAACCTGAGTGACTCTCATGAGCTGGCCATGAGGCTCAAGAGGTCGATGTTACAAGGAACAGCCATTCATTATGATTTTCGATATGAATTTGTAAAAGAACACAGGGCAGAGCTGTTGATGAACAGGCTTGAGCAGCATCATGAACACCCCATCTCTTAAGGGCATTAATCCCCACCTGCCAGGTATATTGTGCTTCTTTCTGTTCCTCTGATCCTGAGAGCTTCTATAGTGATGGACATGAATGAAGTCCAGGTATGTCCTGTCCTTGCTGGAACTGGAAATGACGCTGTTCTTCTTATTTGGGGGTGGAGCCACAGTAGTGGTGGGACAACCAGTCCTTGTGGTTGTATGGGCGTTTGAAGCGTTTCCAGGGTGAACTGAACGGCTGCATCATATTCGTCACCTGGGGAAAAAAAAAGAAGAGAGAAAAAATGCTGGAGAGTCTCAGGGAGTGTAAGAGCCAGAGTTACCCAAAACTATTTCATAGGGGACACAGAAAGCCACTTCCTCATGCCAGGAGAATTCCTCGTATTTTTTTAGAGGAAGGGGCAATGCTTCTACGGCCCTGTGCAAAGCCTGGTGAGGCCACTGGCAAGACTCCCGTTGACTTCCCATTAGTTTAGGGCTCTGTTGTCCATCATTAGTCAAAGCTGGGGTTACACTGATTTGCCGCTAATGCTAGCTGAAATCAATGGGATTGGAAAGTGCTCAGGAAGGATGGACATTTTTGTAAGCT